AGGGAAGACCCTGGGCAGTCGAGATACACACAGAGCCCCCTACTCCGCGGGAGAAAAGCCGCCAGCCACGCCGGAAGGGACCCTGCCAATATGGCCCCCGCGCGTGCGCACAACGCGGGGGCGGGGCGGCCGAGGACGCGGAAGTCCTCCGCGGGCGGGCGGGGCGGGGCGGCTACGCTCACGGGAGCTGGGAGGGTGGCGGCGGCGCCTCAGCTGGCGTCCTCAGCCTGCAGACCGCTGGGAGCAGGGCAGGAAGACCCTAGCCGAGCAGAAGGTGGAGTTAAGTGTAGCTCACTTCCTTCTACGCTTTGCGCTTTCAGTCTCGCTTTCTCTTCACTGCTGTTGGGTCACGTAGACCTGGGAGAGCGCCAGTGTGCGCCGGCTTGTGAGTTGCTTGTCTGTCGTTCTGCCCTGTTCCCGCAAATGGCCCAACTGTACCGGTTTGGGGAGAATTTTCTCCTTGGTCTCCTCTGCTTTTCACCACGTCAGAAAGGATTTCCCCGACCAACCTAGTTAAAAGCAATACCCTGCCACCACCGTACACTCGCAGCATGTTATCTTCTTTGCTGAAATTGTCATGCTTGTTTGCGTTTGTCATCCATCTCTCCGCCCTTTTTCTCATCCAGCTTCAATGCTTATGTGTACTATCTACTATTCATGTCTAGGTTTTTCAAGCTAGAAGGTTGACTAGGTCTGGGTTAATACGTGGTCATTTGCTCATGGTCTCTCCCAGGAAGCAGCCCGTTGGGCAAGGACTTTTGTTGTCTTCATGTCGGGTGCAAAATTATTGGGGGATATGAGCTTTGAAAAGAGATTGCTTGGAAATGAGTTGCATTTTGAGGTCCCTCCTGTCATCTCTGCTTTCCAAGCACACGGAGGTGAGCCAAGGCAAGGTGGCAAAGGGCCATGCTCAGATAGGTAGTGCTTTGAAAGCATCCTCAGGTGTTGTACTTATGGCATCACTGAGGGCCCCTACCTGCCATCTTAGTTCATTCTGCAGAATTCAGCAATCATGAAGTTTTAAGTGAGAGGTAGGATTTCTTAGGTCAAAAGAGGAGGGATCAGTTGAGATAAAAGAGCAGGAGAATAAGTTTGACAAGTTTGGGTAACAGTTCAGTCTGGCTCGAATGGAGGAGATAATGTAGGAATTAAAGGAGGAAAGGCATTTGAGGCCAGACTGTAGAGTACCTTCAATGCAAGAATTTTTTTGATCAATAATAAGAGGATCAAAGTGATGTTTTAGGATGATGAGCCCTCAAGATATCCCATCCAATAAGTTTCTCTTACAATGTGCCACTGATGCTTCCCACTGAAAGGTTCTATGTCCCTTTGCCCTGAATCTGGGTGAGCCTGTGACTACAATAGAAGTGGTATCATTTGACTTCCCAGAGTAGGTCATAAAAGGTGATATAGTTCTGTCTTGTCCTCTTGGGATGGTTGTTCTTGGAACCCAGGCACTACGCTGTGAGGAGGCAAAGACCACATAGAGAGGTGTTTGGCCAACAGCCTAGATGAGGTCCCAGTGTCACCTGTCAGATAGGTAAGTGAAGATTCCTCCAGGTGATTCTAGTCCCTAGAAATTGAGTCTCTCGCAAGCACCAAATCTCCCCCTGCCTTCAAGTCTTCCTAGCAGTGTGGAGCAAAGACAAGCTGTCCCAGGGCCTATCTGAATTAATAGGCCCACAGAAACCATAAATGATTGTTTTAAGCCACTAATTTTTTAGTTAAATTGTCACACAGCAATGTATGTAACCAGAATTTTTATCTGCCTCCAATATGAAGTATGTAGGTTAGGGAAACTAAGAAGACCAGAAAGTAAAGTTCTGTTATAGTCCAGAGAGGATAAAAGTCTGGACAGAAAAAGACACTTGCAAGAGCAAAGAGTTTTTGCCAGACATATGGTATTGATTTCTAAATCTAGAAATGGGTTTTCTCCTCATTGGTTGAAAGGCCTAGGACTTGGCACTTGTAGAAGTGTGTTCATTCTTGCAGTTTATTCAACAGATCTTTCTTGGGTCTGCTAGGGGCCTGGCATGGTGCTAGGTCCTGAAGGTTATATGAAATAAATATTATTCAATTTATGCACTATATTAAGTCAGGGTTCTCCCGAGAAAAGGAATCAATAAGATGGATGGATGCATGGATAGATAGATAGAAGGGGATTTATTATGGAAATAAATTATGGAGGCCAAGAAGTCCCATAATATGCTGCCTGCAAGCTGGAGAACTAGGGGAGCTGATGGTGTAAGTCTTGCAGTCCAAAAGCTGAGAACCTGGAGTTCTGATGTCTGATGGCAAGAGGAGACGGATGTCCCAGCTCCAGAAGAGAGACTGAAATCATCTTTCCTCTACCTTTTTGTCTATCTGGGCCCTCAGTGGACCACCTACATTGGTGAGGGGGGATCTTCCTTAGTCTGTGATTCAATGCCATTCTCTTCTGGTAACATCCTTACAGACATTCTCAGAAATAATGCTTTACCAGCTATCTGTGTATCCTTTAACCCAGTCATAGGTGTCCGCTAATCCAGTCAAGCTGACAGCTAAAATTAACCATCACAACCACCCAAGAGTTTATAAAATAGATGGAATTGACTAATTAGAGATAAACTAGAACAAACACCAAATAGTAAAATATCAATGCAATGCAGCATGTATTTAAATATTGAAATAGTGGTAAGCAATATTTGTATTAGGAATTGAGTGGAAGGGAATCCACGTTAGCAGAAGTAATCAAGAGGGAAATCTGTAGGGTTTCATCATAGAAGAGGATGAACACTGGGCTGGGAGTGAAATCCACTTTCAGTCCACTTTTCTGGTCCCCAGTTTCCTGAATGATCGATCAAGCTAGATAAAAACTACAGTTTTTTAAATTTGAGAAGCATAAGTGCTTTCATGTGAATGATCTCATTTGTTCCTCCTAACGTGTGTGTGTCTATATGTAGGAGGATAGGGGAGGAAGGAATGGGGAGAGGAAGTAGTGTGGGACCCTGTAGTGGTTAACAGCATGGTCTGTATCAGAAAGACCTGATTTAAGCAGTAGCTCTCTTTCTCTTTTTTTTTTTTTGAGGGAGAGTCTCACTCTGTTGCCCGGGCTAGAGTGCTATGGCGTCAGCCTAGCTCACAGCAACCTCAAACTCCTGGGCCATCTTTCTGCCTCAGTCTCCCGAGTAGCTGGAACTACAGGCATGCACCACCATGCTCGGCTAATATTTTCTATGTATTTTTAGTTGGCCAATTAATTTCTTTCTGTTTTTAGTAGAGATGGGGTCACACTCTTGCTCAGGCTTGTTTCCAACTCCTGAGCTTGAGCGATCCACCCGCCTCAGCCTCCCAGAGTGCTAGGATTACAGGGGTGAGTCACTGCACCCAGCCTAAGCAGTAGCTCTCTTTCATCAAATTAGTTCAATTTTTTAAGCCTCTATTTCCTTATTTGAAAATGGGGATTAATCATAATAGTACTTCCCTCATGGGTTTGTTATGAAGATTAAATGAGATGTGTGTAAAATACTAGTGCTCAATAAATATTGGCGCTTTTTTTTTTTTTTTTTTAAGACAGAGTCTCACTGTGTTGCCCAGGCTAGAGTGCCGTGGTGTCAGCCTAGCTCACAGCAACCTCAAACTCCTGGGCTCAAGTGATTCTCCTGCCTCAGCCTCACGAGTAGGTGGGACTACAGGCATGCGCCACCATGCCTGGCTAATTTTTTCTATATATTTTTAGTTGGCCAATTATTTTCTTTCTATTTTTAGTAGAGATGGGGTCTCGCTCTTGCTCAGGATGGTTTTGAACTCCTGACCTTGAGCAATCCGCCCGCCTCGGCCTCCCAAGAGCTAGGATTACAGGCGTGAGCCACAGCGCCCGGCCTAACCATTATATTTAAGTGGCTCAGGGGTTAGTGGCCTTGCCTGGATGTCTTTATCTGCTTCCTTGCAGTGTGTGTCTTCCAGCATCTATCTCTGGAGTTCCGGTTTCATCTACCCTTTCAAATAAGCTAAAAAACGTTCTCAAAGAATACCTTCTGTGTTTTCTCCTAAGACATCTTAGTGTGCACCTCCTTGGCCTTTCTTCTAGCATACATTCATCCTGTATACACTCATTCTGCAAGAATTTTTAAAGACTTCTCTATGGGAAAGGCACTGTAGCAGGTGTGAGAAGAAGGGATGGGACAAAAATAAGCTTTACACGGTCTCTGCCCTCAAATATATCTCAGGCTAGATGACTACACAACCATGATCCATTATGCAAAGTGATCTGCCATGAAAAAGACATAGTAAAATGGGATTCTAGAGAAAGAAGAGATCAGAGAAGGTTTTATAGAACTGGTGATATGTTACCTAGGTCTGTATGTTATGTCTAGTTATTTAAAATATGTGAATATATTTATACATATATATTCCTTTCAAAGTTTAAAAAAGTCATTGACTTCAGGGTGAACAGATCTAGAGATTATCTGATTCAAAATATCATTATATGTGGAGTTTTTTGGTTCTTTTTTTTTTTGAGACAGAGTCTCACTCTGTTGCCTGGGATAGAGTGCCATGGCATCAGCTTAGCTCACAGCAACTTCAAACTCCTGGGCTCAAGCAATCCTCTTGCCTCAGCCAAGTAGCTGGGACTACAGGCATGCACCACCATGCCCGGCTAATTTTTTCTATATATTTTTAGTTGGCCAGCTAATTTCTTTCAATTTTTTTTGTAGAGATGGGGGTCTCGCTCTTGCTCAGGCTGGTCTCGAACTTCTGAGCTCAAAGGATCCACCTGCCTTGGCCTCCCAGAGTGCTAGGATTACAGGCGTGTGCCACTGCGCCTGGCCATTGTAAGCGTTTTATATACAAGGCAAGCAAGACCCACAGAAAGACATGCTTGCTTATGCAGCACTTTCTTAAGTTTAAAAACTGGTCATCAGATTGCTTGAAGACCCTAAAGGTTTTATGTGCTTTGTCATATTCAGAATTGATCTGTTCCCTCAGTTCATTTTTAACTATGCAGGAAAGTCCTTTGATGTGGTCCTTTTGGTTTTTAATTACTCAAGTTAATGTGAACTTTTATCTAGTCACATGGAGATCCCAGATTCATAGGACTTTGCAGTTTCAAACCAGATTTCCTCTACGGCTTTCTGGCCCATGTCAAGCATTTGCTGTAAGTGCTTCCACCCAGTTTTTGCAGTACTCATGAGATAGTCTTTGTTCTCTGGGTATAGCTGGCAAGAGTATGCAGCTATGACAAGTGACTGACAAAAACGACTGCATACAAGTAGAAACAAAGCACCCTTCTCTGCAGCTGTCAGTGGGATTATACTTTCAAACCCTGCAAGGACATGACCTCCCACTTGTATAGGATTCTTGCTTTCAATCATCATGTACATAATGGCGATTGCCACTTCAAATACGTAGTAGCCATAGCTCATGTCATCAAAGTCTAAAATCCCAGACACTTGATATTCAGCATCTCCACAGGCTGACTTGCTGGACTCTATTAAAATGTTATAATCATTAAGATCTCCATGATTGATACCTGAAAGTAGAAAAAATCATGTAAAAAGTTATTTAATATCCCAATTCATTCTCTTTCCATTCTCTTTCTTAGGCAAGGCCATTCAGATAATTTGATGAGCAGTCAGAGATAAAGGGCCAAACCATATTTTCCTTGAAATATAATAATTTCCTCTGAAAAGGATAAAAGGAGTTAATTTTGGGTTTCTGTTTTTGCTTTTGCTTCTCATCAATACGAGGCCAGAAAATAGAGATCGCAGTCTCTGCAAATAGCTAATTTTGGCTATTGGAAGAGTAAAGTGAAAAGGAGTACTATTCAAAACCAGAAATGTTTCAAAAGAATATAAACATAATCATATTATTATAAGAGGCAAGGGGTTCTAGAATGGATGAGATGTGCTTTTATTTTCAACTAGGTTTTCCAAAAAATTTTTCTGATGACATGGTAATTCAGAATTTCTCCAGTTTTTTGATTACTAAAATAGGTGGTGATAGTTTAAGTCAATACTACTCAAAGTGGGGTCTATGGCCAGTGTTGGTCTACAAATGTTACAAGTCTGCATGAGTTAAGAACAGAAATTGAGAGTGTTTAGAAGATTTTATAGCAATTTGATATACAAAAGTATGATCAGTTGCTTTGTTTCACTGAACAGAGAGTAGACCAGTTTGAGTTTTATCAAACTTGCATGGTTAGTGACATGTGGCATGAGCTGTGAATTAATCATGTACAGTAGGACCATGTGCTAGGCTATGATGGGTTAGGGGTGGGCAGGGAAAAATCCCAAACTTGTCTTTTACAATAGATAGTTTGAGAAGCACTGATTTAAGCCACTAAAGATGGGCATGAGATGGGCATGTCCATGAGCAGTAAAGGTCACATACTTTCTAATAAGTACATAATTTTAACTTCTAAATATAATATAGGTATTTTCTGTATGATTAGAATTACACAAATCATGCTTAAGTAATGTAGCTCATTGAGTGGCACATATAAGCAATGAACATTACATCATAGATTTTAAACTATACATTCTAAAATTGGGATATATCATACAATTGACTCAAAATATTTAAAGCAAAAATTGATAGAAATAGAAGCAAAACATAGACAATCCACGATTATAGTGGGAGATTCAAAATATACTTTACTGGCCGGGCGCTGTGGCTCACGCCTGTAATCCTAGCTCTTGGGAGGCCGAGGCGGGCGGATTGCTCAAGGTCAGGAGTTCAAAACCAGCCAGCCTGAGCAAGAGCCGAGACCCCGACCTCTCTACTATAATAGAAAGAAATTAATTGGCAACGATTATAGATATGTAAAAAAATTAGCGGCATTGGTGCGCCGCATCCCGGTAGTCCCAGCTACTCGGGAGGCGAGGCAGAAGGATCACTCAAGCCCAGGAGTTTGAGGTTGCTGTGAGCTAGGCTGACGCCACGGCAACTCACTCTAGCCTGGGCAACAAAGCGAGACTCTGTCTCAAAAAAAAAAAAAAAAAAAAAAATATACTTTACTTAGTAACTGTTACAATAAAACAGACAAAAAAATTAGAGAAAGATATTGAAAATCTAACACGTGATTAAGTAACTTGCACTAATGGGCATATATGTACGCACGTCCTTCACCCACAACTTAATAACTTTCTTTTAACGACACATGACTATGGCACCATTTATTAACATTTATCAATACTGGCATCATACAGGTAAACTTCAAAAGCTCAGAATGCATATAACAGCTATTCTGGTCTAGTATGTAGCCATTAGCCATATGTTGGCCATTTGAAATTTTTAATGATCAAATAAAATTGAAAATCCCATTGCTCAGTTGCACTAGCCACATTGCAAGAACTCACTAGCACCCAAGTGGCCAACTGATATGGATCACAACTGATATAATCAGCGTTTCCTTCCACTAAGAAAATCCTGATATAACAGTATGCGTTCTCTGACCCTGTGTAATTACAGTAGAGAAGCTCAACTTAATCTACAAAGAAACTAAAAAGCCATCCTATTTTGGGGAAAGGATTTAATACTTCTAAATAACCCATGGGTGAAAAGAAGAAATTTAAGATAATACAAATATTTGAACTAAACGAAACCTGGACAAACATGTATCAGTCTTGTCGCTGTGTAATTTATATTAAAGATGTTGATAGCCATACTTCTCACATAAGTACGTTAAATGGTAGCAATTAAGATAAGAATATCAGAGGACATTCTAGGTAAAACTGTTGAAAGAAGCCTTAGCCAATGAGCGCAGAACACTATTTAAAAGAA